GTATGAAAAAACTCCCCTGGATATAAAAGCTTATGTAAAAAAGACAAACACTGTGTGATGTCACTGATATAAGTCCCTGAGAATAGGCAAATTTCTGGAGCCAGAAAGTAGAATGGTAGTTGCCCCCATTCTACTGGGGACGGAAGAATAGGGGTTATCATTTGCTGGGGACAGAGTTTCAGTCTGAGGAGGTTAAAAAGTTCTGGAGATGGATGGTGGTGATGGTTGCACAACTCTGTGAACATACTGTCTCTGAATTGTACACTTAAAAATGGTTATAACAGTAAATTTTATGTTATGCATACTTTATCATAATTAAAGCAAACCAACAAAAGTTAGAAAATCCCTTATTAATGGCCTCCACTGACCTCACGGGGCTCCCTCTCTTCCTAAGTACAAGTAGAAATACCCAGGATGAAATTCAAAAGCTCTCAGCCTGCGTCAGGGCAGGCTTAGAAAGTGCCCAAGGCTAAAGGCCAGGTTTCCAATTGGCTTGTTGTTACCAGAATTACCAAACTAAGTCACATTAGAAATACTAGACTGGCCAGCAGGGAGACACCTACAAGGAAAATGAGTAAAGTTTAGAAACCACAATGGGCTTGCTGAAAGGCATGTCCCTTTGACTTCATAAAACTGTCCTCTGTCGCATCCTAAACCCAAGTGATAAAAGGGAGTGAAGGTGCTCATGATGTAAGGGGTCCTGCTGTGAAATTCAGCTGTATAGTTTGAAACTTGTGTTTTTCCACACTTCTTAGGTTATCAGATAATAGATATTGCAATTAGAATCTAAATGGAATGGGAAGACAGGATCTCAATTCTATTCACTCGGTTTGGGAGAATAAAGAAGCTGGGGATATATCATCAATGTGTAAGTCAGAAGGAGAATGCACTTTTTTTTCTTTTTATCATGAAAATATATGATCCAGTCACATTCACACAGAAGAGCTCTTGCACATGTGTGCCAAGACACACGGAAAAAAGTCTTCGCAGAAGCACACTTTGTAACAGCAAAACGTGGGAACCAACCCAAATGCCCTCTAAGAGAATGGATAAATACGCGTGGAGGATTTGTCAACATGTACTATGATGCTACCTGCAACTACAAGGACAATTCTGAAAAACTTAATTTGAGTTTCTTTAAAGTAAGATTATATACACCCTTTTTATAAATCAAAAACTAAGAAAACTTAAATAGCACATTCTTTAGGAATACATACATATGTCATAAAACAGTTTCGCAATAAAACCAGGGGTTAACACAAAATTCCGGTTGGAAGGGACATAGAGAATGGCACAGAGATACAACAGTACAAAGTAACAATATAGTGGGATCCCCCCACCCTGATTTCTGTTTATTCTCTTTAACAGCTTTATTGAGATATAACACGTAGGAGACAATTCGCCCATTTGAAGTGTATGATTCAATGATATGCACAATTATCACCACAGTCAATTTTAGAACATTTTCATCAGCTCAATGAAAAACCCTATAGCCTGTAAACTACCACCTCCCTACCCTCAATCCCCAGCCCTAAGCAACCACTCATCTACTTCCTGTCTTTATAGATGCCCCTGTTCTGCACGTTTTCATATGAACAGAATTAAAAAATATGTATTTTATTAATTCATGAGAGACACACAGAGAGAGGCAGAGGGAGAAGCAGGTTCCTTGCGTGTTTGCCAAAGTGGGACTCAATCCCAGGATCCCAGGACCCAGGGATCGTGACCTGAGGTGCAGGCAGATGCTCAACCACTGAGCCACCCAGGTGTCCCTACTTTCCCAATTTAACCAGCAATCTCCATCACCACCTTCAGGTCACAAACACTATTCCTTCTAGAATTGCGTTGTCTGACCCCTGCTGGGCCTCACAGCATTGGTCACTACTCCACAAGGTTCCTTCCAGGTCATACTCAGCAGGCAGGAGGGACAGTTGAGGCCCCTGACTTGGCTTTCTAGCTGCAGAACTGACCTCAACCACTGAGCCACCCAGGTGCCGCCATAGGAACAGACTTAAACAATTTGTGGTCTTTTGTGACTCGCTTTTTTCACTTAGAATAATGCTTTCAAGGCTCATACATGTTTTAGCATGGATCACTACTTCATTTCTTTTTTATGGCCAACTACTATCCCATTATATGGATATATCACATTATATTTATCCATTCATCAATCAATGGACATTTGGGTTACTTCCACCCAAGTAATAGCTAATTACTTCAGCTATTATGAATGGTGCTGGTATAAATATTCATGCATAGGTTTTTGTGTAGACATATACTTTCGTTTCTCTTGGATATATATACTGAGAGTGAAACTGCTCTATCATACGGTAACTCAGTGTTCAACTTTTGAGGAACTGCCAAACCGCTTTCCAAAGCAGCAGCACCATTTGAAATTCCAAATTCTACAACCAATGAGTAAGAGTTCCAGTTCCTCCACATCCTCACCAACACTTACCATCTGATTTGTTTTTTATTCTAGCCTTCCCAGTGGATGCGAAATGGTATCCACTAGAGTGGTCTGTTTTGTACTTCTCTGACGAATAATGATGTCGAGCATCTTTTCATTACTTATCGGCTATCTGTATATCTTCTTTGGAGAAATGTCTATTCAGATCTTTTGACAGCTTTTACATTGGGTTATTTATCTTTTTATTATTGAATTGTAAGAGCTCTTTATATATTTTGGATACAAGCCCCTAATTAGATACATAATTTAAAAATATTTTCTCCCATTCCATAGGTTATCTTTTCACAATTAGCCCTTTCTTAAGCCCAAGTTTTTAATGCAGTGATAGGATCACAGGTGGCCATTTGAACATAGTGGTTATAGCTTACATATACTTAACATATTAGTTTTACGTATAAAATATTACATAATTAACAAAACTTCATGTATAAAGATGTCTGTTTGGGAATATTCAAGACAAAATAAAACACTATAATGTCCAAATAAGTTAATGCTACTTTTGAACGTATGTAACAACAGCTGGATATGACTCAGGCACTCAGAGAATCTGGCCCATGAATCCATTCAAAGGCTCTTCTTCAAACTATCACATAGCAAGTGGAAGTAGCAGACTCCTACCCACAGGAAAAACCTGCCCCCTTTCCCTCCTGTCTTTTTATCTCTCCCTCCTCTCCCAAGCTAAGAATCATTTTTACACTTAAAATACTTGAAAAAAAACCCAAGAAGAATGTTTCATTACTGATGAAAAGTTCATGAACTTCAAATTTGTTAATACAGTGTTAAGTCTGGCAAATGTTTTGAGCCAAGAGCTAGAGAGTAAGTACGTAGGTTTTTGCTGGCCATGCGATCTCTTTAGGAGCTACTCAACTCTTAAAACCAGCCATAGACAATACAAAAAGGAATGGTATGGCTGAAATTTATGGACACTGAAATTTGAAGTTCGTATGGTTTTCACCATTTCAACAATGAGCACCAAAAACCTCTTCCAACCAGTCATGGCCATTTCCGTCGGTCACCTTCCTGATTTCTCAATTTCTTTCTCTCTTTAATAAACATGACACCTTGATTCTAATTTTAACAAGGATTTTTAGATGTGGGAACTCACAGAAGATTCTTTCTTTGCAAAATACTCTTGTCTTCAAGAAGTCATGATCCAGCCACACTCCACACTCAAGCTACTGAGTTAATTACTTCAAAAACTTTCACTATCTGGAGGCCTGGGTGGCTCAGTGTTGAGGGTCTGCCTAAGGCTCAGAGAGCCTGCCTCTCCCACTGCCTACGCCTCTGCCTCTCTCTGTGTGTGTCTCTCATGAATAAATAAGTAAAATCTTTTTTAAATAAATAAATAAACAAATAAACAAACAAACTTTCCCTGCTTGCTCATTACATGCTGTTAGTCAAATATTGCTCCTGCTGAAAGAAGTTCCCCAAACCCCATCCTTGCCCTCAAGGGGCTTACCGTCTAGTTGGACTCTTAAGAATAATTTCTCCAAAGATCACTCCACTATTATCATCTCACATCAAGTGAGCTGAGAGAGACGTTTTACCAAGAATTCTAAGGCACGTTCCTTAAACGAAGAGAAATCCATATACTCAGTAAAGAAAGGGCACCTGCAAACAGTTCTGGTAAGCCATGGGGCCTGAGTCGCACAGCCTCCTGCCCTCCCACGACCTACAGAACCAAAGGTTCTTCATGTTTTGCTACAGGTTCCAGCTCCTCTTTGGCCCTTTGGACCCAATCCTAGTTTCACATCCTCAACAGCAGTCACTCATTTGCTCATTTTGCAGAGAGCCCGCCGGTGGGGCCGCCGCCGCTCGGCCGAGAATAAAGGGAAGGCCCTGTGCGCGGGCGGCGCTGCGCCCCGGGGCCGCGAACCAGCTGCGCGCGGGCCGCCCTCCACCGACAGCCGCGGGGAGCCCTGTCCCCCCCCGCCCCCGCCCCCGCCCCCCGAGGCCTCAGTGGCCTTTGCATTTTTTTCAAGTGACTCATTGGCTCCGCTCAGGTTGGACAGAGACGCCAGGTCCGTTTCTTTCGGGCACTTTCCGATCGAGGTGCGGTGGTCGCATCCAGCGCGGTCACGGCGCTTCCCACGCTCCCCCCGCCCCGGCTCCCCCCTGCCCCCCCGGAGGCCCGGAGCCCCCAAAGTCAGGACGGGCCTGGGGCGGCAGCGCTGGGCGGTAGGCCCCGCCGGACCCGCGCGCACCCCGGGGCGCCCCGCCGGCCGCACAGGGCGGGGGCAGGGCGCCGGGCGCTGACCCAGATGGGCCGGCCGCCTCCCCCCGCCCCGCCCGCGTCCCCGCCCCCGCCCGCCGCCCCCCGGCCCCCGGCCCCCGGCCCCGAGGGCGCCCGCGCCTCCTCTCCCGCTCGCGCGCCGCCGCGCCCCGGCCCCTCTCCTCCCCTCCCCTCCCCTCCCCTCCCCGCCTCCCCGCGCAACTCCGAGCGCGCGCCGCGGGGCGCCCCCGCACCTGCGCCCCCGCCCCTGCGCCCCTGCACCTGCGCCCCCGCCCCGCGCGCGCTGCTCCCGCTTACCTGCTGGGGGTCCCGGGTCCGCGCCCCGCCGCTCGCACCTCCTCCCTCTCCCTTCTCCCCCCGATCGGAGCCGCTGTCGGTCACGCTGCTCCCGGGGAGAGTCGCCGGCGGCTTCCGGGAGCTCCAAATACAGACGAGCCGGGGGAGAGAGGGGGAGGGAGGGAGGGAGGGAGGAGGGCAAGGCCCCGCGGGTGGGGGTGGGAATGCAGGGGAGCGGGGAGGAGAGGGGGCTGGGCGACGCGGGGGCCGGGGGCGGCGGGGGAGGGAGGGAAAGAAATGGATTCAGCGCGTCGGGCAGCCCAGCACGAAGTCTGGAAAGATCCGGAGACTCCCGGCCCCGGATAGCGCGGCTTCTCAGACTTTGCCGAGAGATGGGATGGGTCCTTAGCAAGCAGGAGACGGGCCTGTGCGTCCCCGAGCCCAGAGTATGAAGAAGGGTCCTGGCCGGAGAGGCCGCTGGGCCTCGAACGCATTAGCTAGGCGGGCAGCTCAGATGCGCTCAGATCTTGTCAAAACAAAACCGAAAAACATTTTCTAGGCTGTTGTGTGTGTTTATTTTTATTTTTATTTTTATTTTTATTTTTATTTATGATAGTCACACAGAGAGGGGCAGAGACATAGGCAGAGGGAGAAGCAGGCTCCATGCACCGGGAGCCCGACGTGGGATTCGATCCCGGGTCTCCAGGATCACGCCCTGGGCCAAAGGCAGGCGCCAAACCGCTGCGCCACCCAGGGATCCCTGTTTTTAAATTATATCTTGCATACAGCATCTTTAAAAGAGAATAAATGCTCAATTATTTAAAAACAAACATATCCCAGGGAAACCTGGGCGGCTCGGTGGTTGAGCATCTGCCTTTGGCCCAGGGCGTGATCCTGGAGACCTGGGATAGAGTCCCACATCGGGCTCCTCGCAGGGCGCCTGCTTCTCCCTCTGCCTCTGTCTCTGCGTCTCTCTCTGTGTCTCCCGTGAATAAATAAATAAATAAAATATTTAAAAAACAAAACCAAAAATAAACATATCCCAAATCAGTCTATTTGTGGCCGTTTTCCTTCTATATATGGATTATAATTATAAAATTAGACGCTCTTTACTTTTTTTGGTTAACATTAGTAGAAGGAAAACATTGTGTTTCAATTTTCATCATTTATTTCAATCTGAGAAAGTGGACTTGAAACTCTTCATTGAATAAGTGCCAGGGAAATCATTATGGCGGGGGATGGTAATTGATATTTCTTAAAATTTTCAAACAAGCAAGAGGATGGCTCTAAAAAGCTAATATTTTCAGTCAATGTTAAAATTGCATCTAGTTTGTTTCTGTGCATTACAAGGCTTATCCTGACCCCATAGTCAGAACTTAAATGAAGGTCATTGCTATTACACATTACTTTTAGCCAACAGAGGAAAGCATCTTTGGTCCCCTTTGTCTGAAAAGAAGGGAAACAAAATGGCATAAATATTGATAAAAGGATGCATATGTTACATATATCTGAGAGCCAGTGCCATCCCTATCATGCCCATGCCCCGCATTTGGTAGGCGTCTAATACATTTCTACTGAATAATGAATAAATGAATAAATAGATGGATAGAGTATATATGCATTTAGAATATTTATATTCCAAGAATGTAAAATGTAATATATCCATAAGAACCAGTTTGTGCAGGTTTACAGGAAACGTCCAAGTATCCAGCCTAATAATACCTTTTTCCCCCCTGGCACTAACATCAACAAATACTGCGAGAGTATTTCCTTTAGCTGAGTATATTTTGCTTGGAGTATAAAGTATTATGGCGTATAAAGGCGAATGAGGCAAAATCTTGCCTTTAGGTTTATAATATAGTAGGAAGAAGAGAGTATAAAAATAATGACAGTGGAAAGAAGACCATTAAAAAATGTCCTAAAAGAAATAAGATGGAAGGTCTATGGTCGCGCAGACAAGAGGGAGGTTCCTTCTAGTACTGGGATCAGAGAATACAACCTGATGGAAGTGAGAGTTGAACTTCCAAGCAGAAATGAAACAGCACAAGTGGAGGGTCTCGGTAGGACACTCACAATGAAAGGAACAGCAGAGACAAAGATGAAGAGGTAATAAAGGGTGCGACATGTCTGAAGGACAGGCGGTGACCTCAGCTGGAATGGAGAATTGCAGGAACCAGACAGAGGAGGAAGGATAGATTCTAGCTGTCTTAACCTAAGATGATTGACCCCTCGGGGATCTATTCACAGATTTGGAGCAGAGCAATGTTAATGGTTAATTTGGTGGTGTCATCTAGGATTGCAAAGAGATAAGAGGCAGGGAAATCTTCTAAGGAATAATTCACTAGTTTGGAAGGAAATGTAATGAGCCTTAACCTGGTGCCTGAATTCTTCCTATAACTAATTTCACCTAACATAGCTTATGTCTGCTGCTGTATGCCCCAATGGGGCTAACCCCCAGTGAACTCCTTTTCCTAAACAACTCCCTAACATTTATTGTCCACAGTTTCCAACTAGACCAGAAAGTTCCAAGAAAGCGAGGATCATGTCTGTTCAAAGGTTTAAGGCTATGTCCCTGAGGCTGACACAGAAAGGTCATTGAGTACATATTTGCTGATACCCTTTCCTTTAACGGGATGAGTTCTGAATGTCGTGGAGTTGGAAAGAAGAGGACGGGAGCTGGGTTCCTCTAAATCTTTTCAGTCCTCCTTGAAATTCCAAGCCAATCCTGCCATTCTCCTTAGCTGATGATCTAATCATCTGCTATACAAAGAGACTGATGCTATGTTAGCTCTAGGCCTTCCACTTTTCTCCCTTCTGCCCCCAGATTTCTCCTCTCCTCTGCTCCGCTCATTGTATTTCATTTGGATTAATGTCCCCTTCCTTGCTGAAGCTAATAGTATTCTTGTCTTATTCCACCTTGGGCTCATGCTTTTGCATCTGAGCCTCCTCCTCTCCATTGGTTTTGACCCCTGGATAACACTTCTATTGCCCCAGCCACGTCTGTTGTCTGAGAGCCCATAAAATGGTAGTCACATGGGGAAGAGGAGGGGCCCATTGTTGGAATGATTCTACAGTTCTTCTGCCTTTCAGTATATAGTATAAAACTCTTAAATTAATTCTTTTAGGGGAAGGGATTTGCTAGGATCTCAGTGGGAAGTAAGTGACTCAGGATTGCAAAATTCATAGTCCACGAAGCTCCTACAAATATCCAGTAGAATCCAGGCCTCCATGCCCCTCTCCCAGAATCTACTCCTGAGGTCTAAATTTACCTGTCAGTCTGACAGATGGAAAGCTAACCATCTGTGAGCTGGCTTGATGAAAAATCTCCCTTAAAGTGGTGTGGTGGATGGAAACAAATGAACCCAAGCAGACCCTCTTTTCTAACCAGTGTCCATGCTGGTGCATGAAAGAGAATGGGTCTCTGGATTTCAAGTGGTGCCCTACGTGAAGTTATGCGAGGCCCCAGGTCTCTGTGAGGCCCACCCCACTGACATGCCTGCTGAGACCCCTGAGACCAGATGATTGCCACCATGCTATTTTGCCGTAACCTCCTTTACCTGACTGGCAAGTGGAAAGCATCTGTGAACATAATGTCTTTTTCTGGAGCTTTTCTTGGCCCATGAGAAGGACAAGACGATGATGGTGTGTCTCCAAAATGCAAGCAGAGAATAATCATCATAGCTAACTCTGAGCACTTACCATGGGACAAGCTCTGTGCTAAGCATTTTATATGGATTAACTCCCCAGCCTTGTGAAGTGGCTACTGTTCTTATCTGCACTTTAGAAATGAAGAACCAAACACGGAGAGCTTTAAGCCATTTGCTCAGGATCACCAAGCAGCACTGGTCGTGGGATTTTGAATCCAGCCACCCGGGCTTGACTTTGTGCACTTAACCACTATGCATTACATGAATAAATAGGAACAAACAGGGATGAATGAAACCTCCTGGTGGGTGGCTGCTTGGCTCAGTAGGAAGAGCCTGTGACTCTTGATCTCAGAGTTGTGAGTTCAAGCCCCATATTGGGCATAGAGATTATTAAATAAATAAATAAATAAATAAATAAATAAATAAATAAACTAAAAAAAAAGCCTAGCAGTGGATAATAATGCAAATGCTTACTTCAAGACTAGACATCTGAACAGTTGTGATAGAAATTAATTTCTATGCATCATCAAGAATATCTAGGAATAAACCTGATATCTTGCTTCCACTGAGCTGATGTATCAGGAATGAATAAACCCGACTAAGGAAATGAGGGAACTTTATAGTATCACAGTGTGAGCTGTGCAGAGAAAGAGGCAGATGAGTAATACTCCCTTGAGCTCGTGAGATATGGACAAAGATAAATTATATAAGTTAAATGTCGCCCCATTTCTGTGATACAAATTCCCTTGGCAGAGGTAACAGTGAGTCATCGACTGCTTTGGATGAATGGATTCTTTACCCTTTCTTCTCAAAGAGGAAACCAGGGTAGCTCAACTCTCTCATCCTGACCTTCTGTCTTTCCATTGGAGCATTGGAAGCTGTGCCAGAGAAGTAAAAGACCCCAGAAACAAATTTTAAATATTCCAATCTTTTGCCATGTGAAGATCCTTAGTAAGGATTTCTCTCTTATCTACCTCCATATAGCCTGACCCAGCATTTATGAAAGAGAGAGAACTCTTTGATGGCTATGCTACATGATCTGGTTTTTTTCTGATATGGTGGAGTTATACTGAGCTTGCCTTTGACTGAGCAGCTACAAAGAATGGCAGAGCTGGCCGCGTTGCATAGCCTCTGAGACATCACCTCCATTGCCATCTTCCCCTCCATCACCGACCACACACAGCCCTGACCTCTTTTGGCCACACCTTGCTCTTGGTCACAAGAGCACATAGAAACAAGTTAGAGGTAGCAGCACATAGTCATCTTTTTTTCCAGTGTGAGGATTTTTAGTCATGATTGTGATGGTCTGTCCACCCACAGATGTGAGAGGTGAGGGAAGAGTGAACAGGGAAGTTGAGTGATGAACTATAAATAGAAGAAAGTGAAGGTGAAAAGTATCAGTTTCCCTCGCACCGCAGACACCCAAAATGACACTTGTTAGGTGTTCAGTGTACACGGATTTTTAACCTGGGATCTCTAGACAGACTTCAGGAA